CCATCGTCATTGTCATAGCAACAATTGACATCATAATGTTGCCATGGTCATTGTACTAGAAACATTAGATGATGTCATTGTGATTGCTGGTTTTGCAGAAAGAAAGTTTAAGATTGTCTGATTTGTGATTTGTCTCTGTCATTACAAAACTGATTATGGATTTTGAAGAAGATATTGATGAGGATTTTCTTAAAGGATTGGAAGATATCGACTGGGACAAGGATTGGGACGACGTGGAACAGCTGTGTGGTGGTAGTGACATTACATGTTGCGTTGCGGACAAGGTAGAGAGCAAGGAGCAATGCTCGGGCATAGATGATACAGCAGGTGACGTTGTGTTGCTCCAAGAGCTGCCAGAGTCTGAGAAAGGATCAAAAAGTGCCGATGCAGAAGATAAGCTGTCGGAAGTGAAGGTGACTCATACTAGGAAATCTGCAGAATTTGAAAGACGTATTGAGATGGAGAAAGTTGAGAAGTCAATAGTAGAAAGAGTCCCTAAGAACACAGTCAAGAGTACTAACTGGGGTAACAGCGTCTTTGAATCATGGTGTGTCGAGAGGCAATTGGAATGCACAAGTAGTATTGATATGACGGAGACGGAACTGAATAACAACGTATCATTATTCGTTCATGAGGCAGTTAAGCAGGATGGCTGTACACCATACCCACCCAATTCACTATATCAAATAGTAGTCAGTATTCAACGCTATCTTCGAGAACATAGACGACCAGATGTAAGCTTCTTCAATGAAAGTAACAGCCAATACGACAGATTACATAAATCTTTGGATGCCCGAATGAAGGAGCTGGCTACGGAAGTGAAAGAAAGTGTGCAGATCTCATTAGTAAAGACATTGAAGTTACACTTTGGGAAAAGGGACTTTTTTCAGTAAAAACTAGTACTGGACTACTCAATATAGTATATTTCTATAATTGCAAGCTTTTTGCTTTACGAGCAGGTGCTGAACATCGGTCTCTTTGTGTGAATCAGTTTTCTTTTTGAGTCAGCAGTGATGGTCTGAATATCTTCAGTTTCATGGTTGCACATCGAAAACGTTCGAAAGAGGTATAAAGCACAGAAAATTTATACCAAAGGCACTAAAAATATTTTTTGTGCCAGACCGAGGAGAAGGGACATTGTCTCATGTTACAAGCTTTATTTATCATTGATTCCATCTAAAGGTCCTTTTTATCGCAGACCGTCCACTAATAAGCAGCAGCCTACTTTCACAAAACAGATTGTTGGCAAAAATACGCTATCCATGCTCATTAAGAAGTTTTGTTCAGAGGCTGGATTAGAGGGGAATTTCTCACGTCATAGTGGTAAGGTTACTTGTGCAACTGAGCTATTTTACCACAACATAGATGAGCAATTGATTCAAGAACATACT